GCAAAAACGCACAGTACACAGATTTCCACTACGGAGAGACTGGCCTTGACACTCTGAGTACTAGCTTGTGGGGCCACGCAACAAAGTGTGGCTGAAACATTCAAGATTGAACCGTGCACAGCCCGCAAGATAGACGCGGAGATGTGTCCTCCTGTCTGGCCTCCGTGGAATGAGAAACGAACCGGGGGGAAAAAATTGCACGTCAAAGAAGGCGGAGTTCCAGAACACACCCACCGACTGCATAATCGCCACAGACCGATGGTAGCTCAAAGGTGTTTAGGAGGCTAAACGAACTCCCCCAAAAAGTTCGCTTTGGTGAGCTGTTTCGAACTGCCAAAACGAACTCAAAACGAACTTCGTTTCGGCCTGATTTTGTTCGAAATGACATAATTTCAGTTCGTTCTTCGATTTCGTTTGAAGTATATCGGGGCCTTAACATTGAAAAAACTGAGGGTAATATATTCACAGGATAAAGAGGGGTAAAATAAGGCACAGGTGAGATTACTTAATTAACTAATTGGTAACTAAGGAAACAAACTGGAAACAGGAACAAAGGAGACAGGAGCTAAACACAGGGACAAAGAAGAACAAACTAAAAATGTATCCAGAAACTTAAGGGGAACGTGACAGATTCAGTTACAGCTGTTCTCCAGACAACAACTGACCAATTCAATGATCCAGTTAGAGAAAGCCTGGAGTTTTACGATTCACTGAATTGTTCACTCAATATGTGCCAAGAAGAAGGAGATTCTCTAATCTACAATGTGCATGACACCGATGGCACTAAAAGTAAATTACTAAAGTTGAATTTCAGTATTGATAATGTTAAATGAAAATCTTATCATACATAGGTCATGACTGTCAGTTATTTGTGAACTAAATTTTTGGTAACATTGAAGCTTTTTAAGCTTTTTAAAAATTTTTCCATTGTATGAAATACTTTGTCACAGTTTCTACAGGGTAGGCAACTGTGGGTAAAAACTATGAATAATGCAAAGATAAAATAATGCAGTTTAATTACCATGGATATTCCCTGCTGGAAATGCCATTTCAATTGATAAAACATTCCAGTTACTAATCTCCAGTTACTAACCTAACCTTGGCTCCCTGAGTTAAGGAAACAAGCGTAGCATTGAAAGCTTATGTGGTAAACTCCTGTTTACTCTGATACTGAAGCCTTGTCTGTCCATATTCGTGGTACACGAGCTGTACAAACAAATGGTGCTTCAGCCCGCCAAAAGGGGTGGAGCCGACTGCTATATAAGTTGGCTCTAAGTGCAAATCATCAGACTCTTTTGACTGATAACAACACTCATTGACTCGCGAGCAGCACTGCAGCTTACGCAACACTCCTTCCCTTATCTCTGGGAACCGAGGTTACATTAGTAACCAGAGCATTCCCTTTAGAATAGTCTCTACCGATGTGTTAAACGCTAATGGGAAATGCATCCAATTGCACCGTGCTATATGCAAGTGAAGAACAAAGCCGCTCTGTGAGCCCAGCCCCAGAGCGCCCATAATGAGGGCAACTAAAAGGCATGAGCCAATCATGAGGTCCAAGCCACTAGGCTGGGGTCTACATACAAGACCTTTTCCACTAATATAGCGGATTAGGTAAATTAAAGGGAAAAAATCTGTACCTGAAGGGCAGGGACGTCCAAGTTATAAAATCTGGTGAAGGTAGATGGCAAAGAAATTGAAACTCCACTGGGCCAAGCCCAGGAGGAGGCCATTCCTCTGGAGGAGTGTGTCCTTACTCCAATAGGACATTGTAAGCCCATTGTGGCATAAGCCAGGGCTATAGTGTCAACTATCCAGAGAAATCTATCCTGCTTCGTGATTGGCAGCCTTTTAGAGCACTCTCTGAAGCATACAACGAGTTGCTCTGAGTGCAGAAAGTAGCCAGAGCACTCAACATTCACTCTAAGAGTAAATTGGGACCCCACTCTTCCTTTGGGTTAGGAAGAGCTAGAAAGGTGATGACTTGTGCCTGACTCTAACCTCCAAAAAGGTGTTAGTCATTCTCACAGGGAGCTGTAAAGACTCCCATCAAGGGGCCAGACATGAAGCCTCCACAGCTCGGGCCAGGGATGCCAAATCATGCCTCTCGCTTGAGAGAGGAAAACCGTCCTCAATGGGATTGGCCAAGGAGCTGCCAATAGGAGCTGAATTAACTTGGATCATTTGAGCCGTCTGGGGGAGTCGTCTCCATTCTCCTGGAGCTACATTGCCTTTGGACAGCATGTCCGCACCTTGGTTCAGCCTGCCGGGCACGTGAACTGCCCTCAGTGAGAGCAGGTTGCACTGTGCCCATAGGAGGAGGTGTCTCACCCTCCTATAAAGGGAGTGTCACCTGACACAGGCCCGGTTCTACGGGAGCTCCCCAACCTTGGAGGCATCTGTCCTGACTACCTTCCTTTTGGAGGTCTGTCCCAATGGGACGCATGTCTGAAACAGACAAAGACAAGGGGCCACGGCACTGATGCAGCGGTGGATAACTTTGAGGTGAAGATGTCCCAGGCACCAACCGTGGGACGGTATACAGGCTTTGAGTCAGAACTGGAACAACGCCTTTAGCTGCTGAATTATCAGTGAGTGTTCTGGCGCGACTCAGGCCCACATCTGGGACGAAACAATAATTGTGCCCAGGCAGACTACTCGCTGGCTGGGAGACACAAGGCTTCAGGTGACTGAGCAGCAGCGACCTGTGAGTGAGAAGTTCCAGCTCCGATCTGGCTAACACCAGCCAGTTGACAAGACAGCCCATAATGGGGATTCCCATCTGCCTCAGAGGGGAAAAGAGCCACATCGATGCACTTCACCAAGTGTATGCGCCAGAGACAGGCCGAAATGGAGGACTGAGTATTGATAAGCCACCTCCTTGAACGTAAATGTCAAAAATGGTCTGTGATGAGGGGCTATCTGGATGTGACAGTAAACACCTTTCAGATTCAGCGATAAAAACCAGCCCCCTGGGCATATTTGCTCAAGGATGTGCTTTAAAGTTAATATCCTGAACGGGTGCTATATTAGGGCCTGATTCAGGCATTCAAGATCGAGGATGGGCCTGAGCCCACCACCTTTCTTGGGAACAAGGAAGTAATGGCTGTAAAAGCTCGCTGTTCACTGGGGTAACCATCTCTACGGCTCCCTCTGCAAACAGACTTTGGACTTTAGCCTGGAGAACATGTGAATTGTCAAAAAGCACCTCTGAAGCGAGGAGGTCTCTGAACAAATTGTAGCCTCATTCTGTGGTCTGCAGAACCCAGCTTGACATGCCCAGGATGGCTTCCCAAGCCTGGAGCCGGGCGGCAAGTGGTCTGAGATTTCCGAGTGGCAGGTCGCTGCATGGAGGCAGGGAACTGACATTCATAGTATTGATATTTTGAGTATGTGGTTCCGCTATTCCAGTGGTAATTTGCTCGGGTAAATGTGGAAGGATGGCTACAGAATGAACAACGCTTCCATCGCCCGGAGCTAAACGGGGAATTGGACAGTGAGCATGAGACTTCTTTTTGGGCGGTCCGGCCTCAGCACGACCTGGCCCTCTTCTTTTTCTCTCTGCATAGAGATCGAGATGGCTTCTGTGGCTCAGGGTGCTACACCACCCCCCAGGCTCTGATTTTGGCCAAGGCTGAGCTGGAGACAGCGAGAGCTTCGCAGGCTGCTGGGAAGATGAAGCCATCTGGTGACCTGAACCAGCTGGAACGCTTAGGGGAGACAGGGGAGTCAAGGAAGGCGATTTTCTCTGTGTCCTTGATCTCCTTCAAATCTAGCCAAAGGTGGCTATTGCCTGCGCAATTGTGGTAGCCATATCACCCCGTAGCCCAAGACTGGTTGCCCACTGAAGCTAAGGAGGGTTGAGCCTGGAGACCTCCAAGGAAAACTAGGTTGCTGCTGGAAGAGGTGCTAATGAGGCCAGCAGTGGGTGCTCACCCTGTGGTCTGTGTGGGTCCTAGTGCCCCAGTATAGTGATGGGGACTCAATACTGTCAACAAGCACCGTCCTTCGGATGAGACGTTAAACCAAGGTCCTGACTCTCTGTGGTCATTAAAAATCCCAGGATGTCTTTCGAAAAGAGTAGAGGTGTGACCTCGGCATCCTGGCCAAATTTGCCCACTGGCCTCTGACCATCATGGCCTCCTAACAATCCCCATATCTACTGATTGGCTTCATCACTTTGTCTCCACCAGTAAGCTGGTGTGTGCTGGGCATTCCGGCGCACTATGGCTGCCGTCGCATTATCCAGGTGGATGCTGCACACTGGTGGTGGATGAGGAGATCCCCCCTCACAATATAAAGCGCTTTGAGTGCCTAGAAAAAGGGCTATATAAATATAATAAATTAGTATTATTATTAATAGATGTGCAGCGACCGCCTCCTCCAGAGGGGGAGCTTGCCATATCCCTTTTCTTCAGCGCCGTCAAAGGAGGTGAGGGTGGCAAAATTAGAATAGTGGAAGTTCATTGTGAACTTCTGGGGAAAAAACTGCGCCAGTCCCTGGTGTTCTGTTCGATAGGGAACACCTAAATTTTACTACATTAAAGTATGTTTTGGTAATTAAATAAAATGTTTGCTTATTTTCAGATCAATACATATTAAGTTTCTTCATCTACTACTCTTCCTTATTGTAGGATTAAGTATATAAAAATGCAGAATAAATAAACATGGTATATTGATCAGTGCTTTTAATACTTAAGTACATTAAAAAATCAAGTACTTTTGTACTTTTAAAAAAGTAAAATTTAAAAGGATTACTTTCACTTGAGTAATACTTTATTATTGTATCTGTACTTCATCCAGCACTGATAAGAAGAGGCTGACATGTTCTGACTTTGTCCCTTCAGTCTTAGAGGGTCAATCTCATTAGCATCTATTGAGCTCTCTGTGTGTCATGGAAAAGCGCTTAGAGCGGAAGTGGATGCTCCCAGCAGGAAAAAGCAAAGAGAATGCCAGCGACAGTGAACATTTAAGTGACAGGAAGACATTGCGAGTCTCACCCAGTACAGCACGTCAGTCCAGCCCTCCATGGTGATACACTGGAAGACAGTCAGCATGGCAAACAGGAAGTTGTCAAAGTTTGTGATGCCATTGTTGGGCCCATGCCAACCATCCCTACACATAGTGCCATTGAGAGGGCAGTGTCTCCCATGACCAGTAAGAGAACAGGGAGCTGGGTCCTCCTCTGCTAATGCACCTGTGTGGAGAATGAGAAATATGTGGCTCATTCTCAGGAAATGGTGCCATTTATGTACTGTGTGTATGAGCACCCTGGTTAGAATATCTTTAAGACCCATTATTTGATGCATTTTGATGTGCGTGTGTGTGCGTGTGTGTGCGTGTGCGCGCGTGTGTGTGTATGTGTGTGTGTGTAATGCAAAATACATTTTCAAAACAAAACAAGTATTGTTTATAAATTAGTCTAATGAATGTGAGAACACACTGACGCGTGCCGTTTAGATAGCAGGTTGCATGCATCTTCCCGATGAACAGCTCCAGCCCGATGATGGCATAGATGATGATGACGAAGAGTACAAGCAGAGCAATGTGCAGCAGAGGAACCATGGCTTTAATGATGGAGTTCAGCACTACCTGTAAGCCTACACACACACACACACACACACACACACACACACACAAATATTATCAGCATGTTATCAGGGTGTTCTGGCTGTGAATGCTGGGTAAAGATGGTGACGCACTTGGCACTCCTGACACCAGACGGAGGGGCCGCAGAACTCTAAACGCTCGTAAAGCCTTGACATCGAACCCGCCCGGCTTGCCACCTGACTGCCCGCTGACATCTCGATCTTTGGTTACCAGCTCCAGCACGACACTGAAGAGACTAAACACACACACACATACACATACACTCATCAGTATTAACGATAATAACAGAATGTGAGTTCAGGCTATTATTATCAGATTAGTATGTTATATAGAACATTATAAGTTAAATGTAACAGCAGAAGACGAGAAAATAGTGAAATTGTGCATAATGGAGAGAACAAATTACATAAAATGAATGAAGGTCAATGTCATAATGATTAAATCAATTAACATCCACCATACTATATTCTATCTATCTAGAGATATTCTATCTCTTTCCTTTGTGCAAACTAGGGCTGTGCAAAAAATTGAATGCGATTTTCATGCGCATCTTGTCAGTAAAGCCGGTCCTGTGATTAGTAGTAAATCTCCAGCACGTGCTTTCAGCGATGAATCGGCATTTTTCGGCAATCACCTGCGATTTTGAACGCGATTTTGTGTAGCTTGTCAGTGAACTACGGCTCTGTGTAGTAAATGCCGCTCCATCTGAAAGCACGTGCTGGAGATTTACTACTAATCAGAGGAGCGGCTTTACTGACGAGATGCGCATGACAATCGCATTCGATTTTTTGCACAGCCCTAGTGCAAACATAGAGATGTTTTGCTTTTGGATGATCATTCAAAATTTCCAAGCGTTGTTGTTCATGCAGTCTACAAGCACAAACCTTGTTTTTTTGTTTTATTTTGTTGATTACTGGCTGGTTTTGGGAAAGAAACCCATTCACTAGCCTCTCCGGATATCTAGTATCTTAATTTCATTTATCATCACAACACCTTTTTACCATAACGTTGGGATGTCAGATAGAACAGACAGACAAAATGGCAGACAAGGCCTGTCAGCGCAGCAGTTTAACTGGCTATTTGGGCTGTCAGTCATTTATTTGTTTGCAGATCTGTTGTGGTGTGCTGCATGTTTTTTTATACTTACTTCATTATTGCTTAGGGATGTATAAATAATTAACATACAAATCTAAAAATGGTGATAACCAAAAAAATTTATTTTAGGTAAAAAAAAAAAAAATCTGACAAACAGCAAATAGTAAAAATGCAACTGCATCTATTTTTTCCACAATGCACAACGGGTACCACCACCATATCCAAAAATCTAATGATTTTAGCTGGATGAACTTATTTTTAATGATTACTTATCTTTACATACTGATCAGCATGAACACAAAAACTTGACTGGTGTTTCTCTGGGGGGAAAACAATTGCATACAAAATATGTATGTTAATTACAATAATAAGCTCATACCACTTACTTGATAGTACCTCAATTTGAAATTAGAGAAATAAAAATCAGACTGCTGTTTCAGTTTTTGAGAAGCTATAGTTAAGTGTTCTTAATTGTGTACAGATAAATATAGAGAAGCAGACAGATTGTTATCTTATTTAAGCCAGATGAAAAGTAATGTTTAGGAAAGTTATCATGACTTTTTATCATAGTGAATAAAGTGTGAATAAAGCACTGAAAAGCTAGTGATGACAAAGGCGCTGAAGGTGGTACAGCATTACAAATACTATTTACAGAAATAACAAATGAATATAGGGCGCAATGTCAAGTCAGGTGGGTTTTATCTTTTGCACATTTCATGGACCTGTATCAAATAACACTCATCTGGCACCGGGGCTAGGGGATGTCACAGATGAGATTCGGTGTGATCCCTGAGGATCCTACAGCAGCGCAATCTCCATCCAGCATGACCTCTGACTTCATGCACTGGATGTGGAGTTAATCTCATTACATCAGGTCAGAGATCAGCACTAGATCAGGTTGTAAGCTCTTGTGAACAGTTGCCAGCTACGTGCCAGACAAAATCCTTTCAACAATTTCCAGCTGACATGAACTACTTCTAACAGAGTTGTTCAATCATGACATCCATCTGTAGCACAACACAGAAGACCAATTCGTTGTCATTAAAACACCATTTAACACATGCTATTTGATGGTAAACACACAAAGTAACACTTACAAAACATCAGACAAGTAAGAATCTGAATACACAACTGATAAACAAACTGAAAAACACATTAATAACAGTTTAGTAATAAAACAATATTCTTACATATTTTACAAACAATGTTTCTTACATTTTGCCCAAGAGCATAGTTCTTTGGAACTGTGGTTTTGGGAAACGTAACTATTTTGGTTTTTTTTGTAATGATGAAACTTGTGACCATAGTTGGCTAAAGGCTGAAATAAAAAACTTTTGCCCAGATTTTTGCCCCGATTTTCAGTCTGGGCAAGTTGACGCTAGCTGTCAAAAATCAGAGCCAGTCAAATGTAAATTCATGTCCCAGTCACATTTTCTTGATTAAATAAACATTACTATCAGAAAGAAAATCTATTTTATATTTTTACATTACCAACATAATCAATATTCTATTTATTAACGCCAAATATGAATCTCATCAAGTTAGTGTTTTTAAGCATTTTACATTTATTCCAAAATAATAACTCAAGGCAGATTTTGATGTAACAAAGTGGTTAAGGCCCAATCCCAATTCTACCCCTTAGCCCTTCGTTCCCGTTGAGTTCCTGTTTTCCTTATTTGGTCCTTCCAGTTCCTTTTCATATTATTAGTATCACCTGTTCCTTGTTATTAGTTATCCCCATCACCTGTCTGCCCCTCTTTATCTACCCTATTTAGTTCTAGCCCGTTGAGTTCTCCCATGTCTGGAATTGTATGTTGATGTCTTCTCCTCGTGCTATGTGTGATTCCCTGTGACAAGAATAAATCCCTTTGTTTTGTACTCCTGGTCTCCTCGTTCCTCGTTCTGCGCTCCTCAGACTACCACCGACCGTGACAGAATTCCAGACCTAAAAGTGACAGTAAGCGGCACCCCTTCTACCCGCGTTTGTTTTTCGCATCTCGCTCGAGGGAGAAACCCTCGTGACGCTGTTTCGGATCGGGATAACCTACCATCGTCCCGCGGATCTCCCAGACACCACCAACCTCGGCTGGAAGGAGGCAGTCATCCGGTGTCTGGAGAGCTTCCGATCCCGATCCGGGACCCATCTGCCGGCCGTTCCCGAGTCAAGTAAGCCGACCGTTCCTCAGGCAACGTTAATGTGGCAAGCCCGCCAGAAGTTAATGTGGCAAGCCCGCCAGGAGCTAGACGATGTATGATGACGTGTGACGGCATAGTAGTGGTGTCCCAATTCTTAGGGGAATATTTTCACCCCTACCCCTTGACACTCTGTTTCAAGGGACAAGGGGAAGGGGTAGGCGGAGGGGAAGGGGAAGGGGTATAAAATAGAATTGGGATTGGGCCTAAATCTAAGTTTTTTAATTAGTCTTCCCATTAACGCCATTATATTGTTCATTCAGACTGATTTGTGAAAGCAAACAAACACAAGATGTGGGATTTATCAAATGAACAAATCACAGCCGAACATAACCAGTCATATCCAATCATATCGTGATGGAGGCATTGTCTTCTCCCATTCATTCTCAATTACCCCTCAGCAAACTCACTGCACGCTTTAGAGGGTCTGTTAAAACTCAATGGGCTGAGGGGAGGCGAGAGAGATGCAGACTCCCGCTGTAACTTTACATGCTGGTGTCGCTGTTGGCATGGGTCGCGGAAGCGGGGGGGGGGGCCGCCCGGGCCTGGGCCCTGGTTACTTTTGAGGTCTAGTACAAATATGACATGGGCTAGAAAAATACATATGAGCCTTATAGCCTATGTATGCACCTTTAATCATTAAAAGATTGCGATCTTGATTCAAACACACGCAACCTTATTCCTAAATGACGGTGATTCTGCTATGTCTATTAAACCTTTGAAATCACAATTACATCTGAATATTTAAACCTACTTTTGCGCAGCCGCTGATCCAGAGAGAGCAGCGCTCATCATGTGATGTAAAGCTTAATGTTTGAAACAGCTTCACAAACCGTCTACTTGCACAATAGGCTACATTTCTGTGTTGCAAACATTAAATAATAACGAAAGTATTGATAAAAGTTTAAAGTTCGGATGTAGACTCTGATGTTGCGGGAGCCGCGATCAAAATGGGTCTTTGAAAGTAATGATACGCTGCAAATAATGATTGTATATGTTACATTATTCCAGTAGGTGGCGAACAGTGAGTGTTAAATGTATTTGATGTCTGAATCATTCATACAAGAGATTCAAAACGAAACAAAACGAAACAAGTCTTCATTTATCTTCATTTATTTAAAATGATTGTTTACATCATTAGGCTAATTCGTTTAAATTAATAAATATTTTTAAATAGACTCATTTACTATAACATTAATAAAGCATTTTGTCAGAAACTTAAGTAAATTACATATTTTATTTGGTTGTCTGTTTTGTTTTCAGAATCGTGGGAGAATCATAGCTTAAAAATACATAGGCTAATATGTGTGGCAACTAACTAATACCATTAGTAGGTAATATATTTATTATTTTATAGGTAATATTACTACTGTTTCTAATATTAAAATTAGTTGTGCCCCCCAATCCACCCCCCCCTTAAGTGTATTAAGATTTATACACTTTTTAATGTTATATTTTGTAATATTGGCGTTGTTTTATTTTTGTACTAAGAATTTATTTTCTCATCCAATATTTTAAGGAGACACTTCCTCCCTTGCCTCCTCGGAGGAAACGCCCCGCTTCAGACTATGATTCCATCCAGTCAGAGAATATTTTGAGATTATTTTAGAACACATTGTTTTCATTTGTCAAGCATAACAACAAGACACATGTTTCTGTGTGAGTTCGTTGTGATCAGAATGATTTTAAAGTCTGGTAGTGTGTGATTTTCAGTCGGTAAGTGTATGATGCCTAGCATTTTAAAATCTGTTCAGATTTTAATAGTTATGTAGTGTATAACGATGCTTTTGGGGAAACACATACCAGAGCAATTCTTGAGTACACTTTTACATATCCTAACATAGACCACATTATTTAGATTTTATTTTTACTTTTGATGCTTAAGTAAATTTATAATCAATATCAAAATTTACATTAGGTACTTGAGACTATTTCCATATACTGTAGGTATCTACTTTTACACAAGTTTGATGACTGGACACCGTTAAATATTATGCTGTAGAAAAAGACACATGATAAAGTCACTTATCAGAATACATTTCCTTATTCTATGATTTCTACATCATTCATCAAGCAAACAAACTCATATCCTCATTCTGCACACAGAAAGTGTCAACCACACTGCGAGTCATATGACCAAATATTTTCTGAAGAGACATGACCACGTCATGTGGAGAACTAATTGAAAAGTTTGGAGTTTTCATGAAAGGACAAAAAATTAGGAGAAAATATTAAAACTTAATTTGCAAAAGATTTATGGGTGTGGAACAACATGGGTGTGGTTTATGGGTGTGATTTATGGGTGAGGACCATAAATTATGATCCTTCCTCTTTTTCGGCTTCTACCTCATCTTTTAATGCCTTTGAAACTATCTCGATAGACTATCTTCATAAACTGGTTATGAAGTTAAAACCAACCACATCTGAAACTGACATTTTTCCAGCACGCCTACTTATTCAGGTTTTTGATGCTATTGTGCCTTGTATCTTAGAAATAATAAATAAGAGTCTTTCTGTTGGATTTGTTCCA